GCCGGGCAGCAGCCGGGGGTGAAAGTGGGACCCAGAGAGCCGGCGACTCCCTGACAGGTCTAAAATGCGACCACCCTCTCCCCGGGGACCGCGGCCTGGGTCTCCCGGTCGCGGAGACGGCACCCCGGCAGGGTCGCGCCAGAAACGGCCAGGGAGCTGGGAACATCTGTCTGCGCAAGAGGCATGCGCAGAGATGGTGCCTGGGCACTTTTGGGGAGTGGGCGTGTCGGAAGCCAGGGCCACTCGGGCTCTTTCGAAGGGACAAGCGCTGGACAGTCCTCTGGCAGCGGGAGAGGAGTCTGCAGGTCTCCTCGGGGCCTGGCCGGGGCCGGAGGATGCTGGCGGGGTATTGGTCTACCAGTATCACCAGCCTGGACAGTTGCCCTGGGAGGGTGAAGCCCAGAGAGTCATTAGCCCCCTGAGGGCTGGTGCCTAACTCTATGTGTCAGGAGGTGGGGAGCTTTGGGTTAATAGCTGTGACCCTGGCTTTCATCGTCCCCTGTTATCCTGTCCCCTCTTTGTCATTCTGCAGTGGGGGTGTGAGCAATTACATAGGAACAAACACCAGTTGATTCTGACTATAGCTTTGGAAAGCTTGTTCCAGGTTGAGGCTTTCAGAGTAGAGAATGAGGTGTTTTTATCTTTTTTTGGCTTTTATTCATTTCATTGTAGAATAGCCCAGGTGGAAAGTGTTTACACGTTGGGATGCTGATGTTGGTCAGCAGTTTGAAGCCACCAGGCCCTCCGAGTGAGAAAGATGGGGCTTTCTATTCTCTGAAAGATTTTCACTCCCTCCCGTGGAGAACTGTCCGAGGGCTGCGGATATTAACTCTTTGTGGGGTTAGAAAGTCTCCTGGCTCTCCCTTGGAGGGGCTGGTGGTTTCGAACTGGTGACCTATTCAGTGGCTAGCAGCCCATCGCGGTCACCACTAGGGTGAGAGTCTCGGCGACTCATAGAGTAAGGTCTACCCTGTCCGATAGGGTCTCTATGATTGGAATCTACACGATGACAGTGCTTTTATTTGTGTCTTTTGAAGGGTTACAGAAAAGTTGTAAAGACAGTACCAAGAGTTCCTGCACACCCTCATTTACCTTATTATCAACACCTGACATGATTAGTGTGGCACCTTCGTCACCGCAGATGTCCCTCTGTCATGATGAAGGAAAGGCATCCCTCAGTCAGGGTGCTGCCATTTGTACCTGAGGCCCTGTTTCTGTTCCAGGAGCTCACCTAGGGTCCCTCTTGACATTTACTTGTCTTGCCTTCTCAGGCCTTTCTTGCCTGTGGGACTTGGGAGGAAGCATTCTTTTTCTGTTTGCCTGAGAACAATGCCAGCCTTGGGCAAAATGGTCAGTAGGCATAGTAAGTACTTAATTCTCTTGGCTCCTGGGCAGCTTTCTTCACTAGAGGAATTGTTCTTAACCCTTGTCAACATTTCCTGACCTCTGTCCAAACCCAAAGCCAAACTCACTGCCATCCAGCCAGTGCTGACTCATAGCGACCCCCTGTGAGTTTCTGAGACTAACTGTTGATGTGGGCAGAAAGCCCCATCCTCCATGCCCATCTTCTTGGTAATCTCTCCTTTGTCTTTGTTTTGTCCCCCTCCCTTTGCGATCTTTGCGTCCCTGGGGTTTATGGTGAACGTCCTTTGGGAGAAGGTGTGTTGCTTATTTATTTTTTTGCACACCAGATCACACTAGAGCTAATTTATTTGAAAATCTTAAGGCTGAACTCTTGACTGGGTTATTTGTCCCATGGTTTGCCAACTTCCCTCAGAACTAGCCGTAATGCTTGCTTGCTGTTTGGGTGACCTGACCTGGTCACTTTCAGTCTGATAGAAACTTTGACTCGGGGTAGGGGATCTGTGGGGATGTTTTGTCTAACTCAATTTAGCCTTCTGTATACAGCTACACATTTGTGTAATAGGGTTGGGAGAAAGACGGGATTTTCTACTCCTGTAAAGAGGCTACAGTTTCAGAATCCCACAGGGGCAGTTCTCCTCTGTCCTGTCGGGCCGCTATGAGTGGGAATCGGCTTGATGGCAGTGAGGGTGTATGTTTTTATCATCTAGGGATGGTAGTGGTGTAGTAGGTAAGGGCATGGACTAGAGCAGATTGTCAGGATCTAGTCTGGTCTTTCCTCTCACTGTATGGCTTTGAGTGGGTTATTAAAGGTCCCTGCACCTCATTTTAGGAGATCTGGCAGTATCCTGGGTGATGCCTTAGGTTACTAATCAGCAGTTCTGATCCACCAGCCACTCCTCAGGGGAAGGAAGCTGTCTGCTCCCATAAAGATGTACAGCTTTGAAACCCCTAGGGACGGGGGGTTGCTATGAGGCCGAATTGATGGCAGTGCATTTGATTGGGTTGGATGTCTGTTTCTGATCCGAGGATAAACTCCCTGTCTGTTGGGTGCATTGTGAGGAGCCCTGGTGGCCCAGGGGCTCAGCTGCTCTGAGGGAGACAGGTTCCCACCAGTGGCTCAGTTGGCTTCAGGAGAGATTTGCAACCTGGGAACCCAGTGGGTGGTTCTTCATTATCTACCAGGTGCCTGTTGGCCAGAATCAATACATTGGCCGCAGGTTTGCTTTTTTTTTGTGGGGGGGGCACTGTGAGAAGGTAGTGGTAAAGTGTCATGTGACGCTGTCTGCCAGGTAACTAAAGTTGATTAATAGCCAGTTTCAGGGATAAGGAAGGAGTTCTGAAAGGCCTTTGGATGAAGAAATGTTGATTCTAAGGCTTCCTCCTGGGCTTTTAAAGGCTCCAGGTGTTGTTTAGTCTGCGTGGTTAGTTATTTCACATTGCTTGATGGCACATTATGCTAGGATATCTTGACTGTTACTGCTCACGAATGCTTTTGCTTTGTATGTGATTGCAGGCTTGTGGTACGTACTTGCCTAGAATTGACACCTTCTGTGTTAATGAGTGTGTTCAAAGAACCCAGATGCAGAAAAACACAACAGTTGTAACACCGTAAATCAGGGAAGGAAGCATTTTTACCTGGGTCAAGTGTTCATTTAAAGAATGTCTGCGTGACTGTTGTGAACCGTTGCTAAACTGTAAGCTCTTTGAGGGCAGTGGCTCAAAAAAGAAATATGTGTATACAGTGCCTGCTACTTACTGAGAGCTTATTATGTGGCAAGTACTATGCAGAGTATTTAAGAATGTCATCTTATTTTAATTTTGAAACAGCCAAATTAGTAACTCACCCACTGTCCAGGAACTCACCCACTGTCACATAGCTTATAAATGATGAAATCAGGTTGTGACCTCCCTCTGACTCAAAACCTACCTTATGTTGGCTGTGTCTATACTACAAAAGGTAACACCAAAGATACGTAAAATTTTATTGGCTAACATAATGCATGGTAATGTGAACTTGAATACGACCTGTCCCTGCTCTCACAGAGCTGAGAGGTGAGACAGATCAGTAAAGCAGGGAATAGGTGCCTGCGGTTCAGAAATGTTGCTATAGAAATAGGAACCTGGGGCCAAGGAAGCCCACAGGAGAGACCCACTTCAGGACACGAGGGAGGAGTAGATGCACATCCCTCCTAGTGAGGTTCATGTGGTTGGGTTAAGAGAAGGGGTGGGTTGGAAGACATCGAGGAGGTCTTGGTGACTGTAGATGGATGAGCAGTTTCGTAAGATGGTGACCCCATGTTTCCTGTTTAGGCAGATGCCATTCTTTACCAAGGCAAGAAACGCAGAGAAAGGAGCAGACTTGGGTACGAGTGCTCTGTGTGGTTCGCGATGGGTTGAGTTGGAGAGGGTTAGGAAGCTGCTCCATGGGCCTGTCCCTCAGTGGCAGAGCTGGGGGCGTTCCTGAGTGGGAGGAAGTAGCCATGTGCCCCACCAGAATGCCAGCAGTCGCATGTGTCAGGGTATAAGAATGAGAGCCAAGCCTCATGACGTCAAATACCTTGCCCCTGGTACATACCAGACCAAGTTCAGTCGTTTGAACCTAGGGCTGCCTGGCTTTCAAGCATAGAGCCAAACCAATCTCTCTTGGAAGAAGTGTAGCCGTGTGCTCTGAAGAGGCAAGAATGATAAGAGTTCATTTTACGTACTTTGGACATATTGTCAGGAGAGGCCAGTTCTTGGAGCATCATGCTTGATCAAGTGGAGGGCCAGTGACAAAGAGGAAAGGGCTCAAGGAGATGGATTGTCACAGTGACGCAACCGTGGCTTTCGGCACAGGAACAATTAACTGTAAGGATGGCGCAAGACTGGGCAGTGTTTGGCTCTGTTCTGCGTAGACTTGCTGTGGGTTGGAACTGACTTGATGGCACCAAACAAGAACACATACTGAAAACCTACTCTTCTAGTCCCCTTGCTTAAATTGCTCCCCTAAAGATAAACTTTTGGCCAGTTGTTGGTTTTGTTATGTGTATTATCAATCTGTCATTAACCGTTGTCACCATATTCTGGGTGTGACTGAACGTCAGTTCTGTACTTTCCATGCATTCTGATGCCAGCCTTGTGTGACGCTTCCTCAGGACAGCCCGCTCTGGGCATTACTGCCAGGGCTTCACTTGGGTTCCTTGAGGTTCACTCGCCTACTCAGAATTCACTTCCACCCCACATGTACTGCATCAGAATCAAGATCAAGGATGACACGTACTTAGTGCCCCAGGTGATTCCTCTGTACACACAAGCCTTGTCTAAATAGCGATTTGGATTTAGTATGTCTGCGCTGAGAATGAAGGTGCCCTGGTAGTGTGGTGGTTAAAATGCTTGGCCGTGGCCCGAGAAAATCAGCAGTTCGAACTCACCAGCCGCTCCCCATTTACAGCTGGGAAGCCATGAGGTTGTTATTTTCTGTCCTAGAGAGTCACTGTGCCTAAGACTCAAAGGGTGACACTGGACTGTGGTTCATAGGAGAAAGGCAAATTCTCAGAAGGGGTTGAACCAGAACAGACCTGACGGTTATGAGGACACCCCGGGTCTGTCGATAGCACTTGCAAACATGTAGAAGAGCCGAGAACGTTCCTTTCTGCATTCCTGCGCATCAGGTGTTCCTCCAAGAGGTTGAAGGGAACAGTTAGCCGAGCTTAATCCCGCCTGTCCACCCAGTACCCAGGTATTATAGTAGACAAATGGTCTTAAGATAGAAAATCCAAGTTTTCTTTCTTCTAATAACTGTTCCCTGAGTGCAGATCCTCAAGGTAGGCTTGTAAGCCTGCATTGTCGATGGTGCTAAACTTACCTCCCAGCCAGCCCTCACCCCAGCACAAGAGAAACCTGCTTGTTGCTGCCTTTTAGCTGGTGCACAAGCAATAGCCCTCAAAGGGAAGGCAGACTGGCAGCCACTGTGGGAGCAGCTTTCCCCTATTCAGCCATTCCCGGGAGTTGGCCAAATGTGGGCCGGGGAGGCGTAGCATGAACGCTAGGAAGATGCACTGATGCTTGGATTTCTTTTATTCACACTCTTGAAACCTTTTGTGTGTGTGTGTGTGTTTTTCAGGCAACCTCCCGACTCTTAGTAAATTACCAAGAGCCCTATCGTTCTCAAATATTGGATTATCTCTTTAAGGTAATGAAAACGTTCATCATTGAATAGCAATTGTGATATCTTAGAAATTAGATGGAGTGCTTCATCAGCAGAGTATGCCAGCTTCACGATTTTAATTCAACAAAATAAAAAGACAAATCACTTTTGGAGTAAACTGCTCTCTGAAATTTTGCTTTGATTTTCTCATCTGTAAAACCAAAGGGAGTGAGTGAGTGAGAAATGCATAATTGTCTTTCAGTGCTATGTTCTTTGACAATGTAGCCGTGTTAATGCCGTTTCTTCTTTCCCCAGCCAAACTTTGGTGCCTCTTTGCATATTCTAAAGGTCGAAATAGGTGGCGATGGGCAGACAACAGGTAGGAGTGCTTGGGAAATGGGAGAGTGTCTCCCCATCATCTGATTCTGTTATCCGTGAAACCACAGATAACAATGTAATCTGTGATTTCTCATGATGAATAAAAAGAGTTGAGACTTTTGATATTGATTGTTGCTAATCAGATTGTTTCTCATGGGTCCTTTTTAAATGCCTTAATTTAAAAATATGAATTCTTCATCAAAATGGCATTCCAACTTTGGAGTGCTTGCTTCATTGAAGTAACTCAGCGGTACATAAATCTGTAGCTTCCAAAAACAATATAATCTAGACAGCAGAAAGAATGTTTAGCAAGGTGTGAACCCATTTCCTCCAGCTGCTTTGTAGCGCCGTATAGGGCAGAGTGGTGCTGTTCGCTACAGTGTGTGAGGTTATCAGTCTTTATGGGAGTCGATGGCCTCGTCTGTCTCTCGAGGGGCGACTGGTGGGTTTGCAACACCTAGCAGTCTTACTTGAATTTCTTTTAATCATCACATCTTCGTATCATCCATCTTCTTTAATTCAGAGAAGCTGGATTATGTGAAGAAGAGTGTGGCATAGGGATGGGAGGAGCCTTATTAACAACCTGCGGGATGCAGGTGACACAACCTTGCTGGCTGAAAGTGAGGAATTGAAGCACCTGCTGCTGAAGATCAAGGATTATAGCCTTCAGTGTGGATTATAACTCAATATAAGGAAGACCCAAATCCTCACAACTGGACCAATAGGTAGCACATGATAAATGGAGAAAAGGTTGAAGTTGTTTAATACTTTTCTCTTATTTGGATCCACAATCAATGCTCATGGAAGCAGCAGTCAAGAGACCAAAAGACATATTGCATTATGTAAATCTGCACAAGACCTCTGTAGGGTATTGAAGAGCAGGAATTCTACTTTGAAGACTAAGGTGCCCCTAACTCAAGCCATGGTATTCTCCATTGCCTCATATGCATGTGAAAGTTGAACATTGAATAAGGAAGACCGTAGATGACTCAATGCAGTGGAACTGTGCTGCTGGAGAAGAATATTGGAAGTACCATAGACCGCTGAAAGGGCAAACCTATCTGTACTGGAAGAAGTAAGGCCAGAGTGTTCTTTAGAGGCAAAGATGGCAACACGTCATCTTTCGTACTTTGGACATATTGTCAAGAGAGACCAGAGCCTGGAGAAGGACATCAGATTTGATAAGATGGGGCAGTAGCGAAAACGAGGAAGGCCCTTGATGAGATGGATTGACACGGTGGCTGCAGCAGTGGGCTCAGGCCCAGGGACAATTGTGAGGGTGGCACAGCACCGTACAGTGTTTCGTTTTGTTGTGCGTGGAGTTGCTATGTGTTGGAGCCGACTGATGACACTGAACAACGACAGCAGCATTATTGGGTCTAGCAGTCCAGTGTTAATTCGACAGCTCCCCTGTGGTACTTGGTTTCATGAAAGCCAGTGAGGTCATAGACTTGGATCATGCAATCTCCAGTTCTATGATTTCTCGTACTTACCCAACTGTAGGTTTGGAACTGGGGGGAGGGGAGAAAGAGTCAGAGATGCGGTGGTCATGGGAGATCACTGTTAACAGCTCGCTTCCTTCTTTTGCTCTCCCCCGTTCAGATGGCACTGAGCCCTCCCACATGCACTATGCACTCGATGAGAATTATTTTCGGGGCTATGAGTGGTGGATAATGAAAGAAGCCAAGAAGAGGAACCCTAATATTACACTCATGGGTAAGAAGTGAAGTTTGCAATTCTTCTGTAGACTGTTTTGACCCACATTAGTAGACTTGTTTTATTATTGGAGAACTCGTACCGTGGTTAATGCCATGAGCAGCAAAGTAGGCATCAGGCACGGTCCTTTCTTTGGCTTGGGGATCTACAGCCATTGAAAACCCTATGCAGTGCCGTTTTCTACTCTGAGCAGGGTGGCCGTGAGTCAGAATCCACTCGGTGGCAACTCGTGTGGAAACAAACACACCTGTTAGTCTAGCCATTAGTAACGTCAGCTCTTTCCGTAACTTGGGAGTAACATATCAGTCATCTCATTTACCTAGGAAACAGTGGAAGCTAAGAGAAGATGAGCCATAGGCACCTAGTAAATGGCAGGAAAGCGTTCAGAACCTGATCCTAGTCTGCTTTTTCCTCTGTGACTCCAAACTACTTCCCATAACAAAACCTTTGAAATTTGTAAAAGAGTAGTACTGCTTATAGAACTGCTTCGTGTATGCAGTAACACCCCCCCCCACCCCACTACCTTCAAATTTGTGCTAGCAGCAGTTGTTGTAGGCTGCCATGTGGCTGACTGACTCCTGGTGACCCCATGCACAGCAGAACTCAAGGCTGCCTCATCTGGTGCCATCCCCGTGATTGAATGCAGAGGGGTCGTGGTGATCCATGGGGTTTTCATTGGCTGATCTTTGGAGTTGGACTGCCTGGACTTTCTTCATGGTCTTCCTCCAGAAGCACCTCTTACACCTGTTTAGCATCATAGCAATTTTCAAGCCTCCGCGCTTTGGCCTGGAATTGAATCCAGGTCTTCTGCAGGGGTGGTGAGACCCTACTACTACATGCAGTAGTAGACCCCATTTCTAGAGGAAGAATGTACAAGCGCACTGCCCCCCAAGCCTTTTTGTTAAACCAACCCCAGATCCCGCCTGCCCCTGTGGTCAGCAGCATTGCATGATTGCTCAAAGGTGCCACAACTCTTACAGCAATGTGAGTCCAGAGCCTGTGAGGCATTTCAGGCATTCGCAGTGCTGGCTGGCATAGTTTCATCACTAACCGTATATACTCGAGTATAAGTTGACATGAATTCCAGCTGAGGTACCTAATTTTACCACAAAAACTGCATTAAAAATGTGCTGAAAAACATGGCTTATACACAAATGTATATGGTAACATGATTTTTATTTTTCAAAACAGACTGAGTTAAGTGAAATTTGTGATCCATTTGAAAAATTTCACCTGGAGTTATTTTAGAAATCATTTTTAACAATGAATTTAAACAAGGAAAGAAGGAATTTAAACAAGGAAAGAAAAGAAAAAGAGTTTGCATGTTCTTTCGAACTGAACCTTATAAGAAATTCCAGAGATGTTCTGAGCCGGAAAAAAGTATCACTGAATTTAGCCCAGACCCTCTCACTGGCCTGCCACCGAGTTCAGAGCTCATTGATACACAGGCTGGGCCTTTGGAGTGTGTCCGGCATAAGGCAGTTTTAAAAGGTTCCCAGCTTAGCAAGATCAGGAAACATTTCTTTTACTTTGAATTTGATATTTTTCTCCAGTGGGGAACTAGATTCGCTATGGCGTTTATGTTAATGAGTGAGTTTGAGAAGGAGGATTGAAAATTGTGATCGCTGTTTCTTTTTATTTGAAAATAGTGAAATCAGGGCTACGAGAAGAATGGGCTTGTTTGATCGGTGTCCTTGAACAAAGGCATATTTGTCATGCTGAGTCATTGCTGTCTGCATTGAATCAAGGACAAACCCATTTTGTTAAATTTGATCACCTGACTAACCTTTTTTGAAATTTTTGTTTTTGTTTTTGAGATACAGCAAAATATACCTGACTAATTAGGTATCCTTAAACTGGAAGAAGGTATACAAGAGGATGCAGGACTTGTATTAAACCTACTCCACCCACTGCCATGAGTCAGTTACAACTCAAAGTCACCTTGTAGGGCGCAGTAGAGTGCCTTGGAGCATCCAAGGCTGTGCCTCTTTATGAAAGCAGACGGTCTCATCTTGCTCCTGAGGAGCAGCTGGTTGGTCAGAATCACCTGCCGTTTTGTTAGCAATCCAATATAGAACCCACGAAACCTCCAGGACTCCACCTATCACACAGGGGTGGGTAATTGTCAGCTTTCCAGAACGCTTCGACTTGACCTTCGAGAACAAGGAGTGACTATTGAACCTTCTTTACATGGGAGGAGAAGTTCCCTTACATTGTATAGTCTTTTGATTGGTGTGTGTTCTTGGGAGAGATGTTTTTGTTGTTTTTCCTGAAAGAGCATTTGTGACGAGGGGACCTATGGGTAGAGATCCACAAGGAATTAGGGTGTCAGCAAACTGGAGGGTTTGAGAAATTGTGTTCCCTGTAGAATCTTCCCACGAGTCAGATTTGTGTTGGCATTTGGCTTTGCTGAGCATGCTTTTTGTTTTGATTTTGCAGTAAGAGTTCGCACCGTCACCCACTCCGCCTTTGCCTCTTCCCTTCTCTCTGCAGGGCTGCCCTGGTCCTTCCCTGGATGGCTCGGCAAAGGGTTCAACTGGCCGTATGTAAACGTTCAACTGACTGCCTATTATGTCGTGGCCTGGATTGTGGGCGCCAAGCAGTATCATAATTTGGACATTGATTATATCGGGGTTGGTGATATACTTAAAATACAATTAATTTTTGGACATCGATTTATAATTTTTTAAAGTAAATTTGATTCCATGATACTTTGTAGACTACCCACCTTGTACTGGGGGACTCATGGGCTCTCTGAGTGCCTTAAACTGACACAGATTAATTGCATGTGACCTTATGTTCTTCCTCTTTGCCCATTCCGGTTCTTCCCGCTTCTGGCCACTGTACTGTGTATGACTTCTCTGAGTTGATGTTTCTGATTGTCTGGGTGTGTGTGCTTGTACCATCTCAGCTAAACCCTCCTGCTTAGCTTTGCCGAGTTTCTCTAGTTCTTCCCACAGTAACGTGTTTACTGGTGAACATCATTTTGCTTTGAGCCATCTGTTTGACTTTTTAATAACTAAAAAAGTGCGAGGAACAATACCCTATCTCCCCAGCTGGTCTGTTGGCGGACCGGAGGCATGCCTCGTGTGGTTGTACACCCCAGAGTCTCACATGAGCATGCTCAGTAAAGTCTCAGTAAAAGTTTAGTGTTAGCCCATTTGTCAAAACTTTTCATGCGCTACGCAAGCACTTCCCAAGTTCCTGCTGTGTTGCAGGCACTTTAACTATGTTCTGGGGATAGCTAACTAGTAAGCTCTCGAGAGGTCCAGCGAAAGAGGCTCACACTGATGGGGATAAACTGCAATCGCAGAGGAGGGAGGGTTGGGCACTGGCATAGTAGACTCGCATGATATGAGGGTATCAACCATGGGCTGTAGGAAGCTAGAGATGAAAAGATGCTTGTTTTTATTACTCTCCCAAATTATGACTGAAAATTAGTTTGTATTTGAGAGCATTCTTAAATAGCAGGGTATTTTTAACCACTTAAGAACAAAACAAAATAATTCCACTGCCACTGAGTTGATTCCAACTCATGGTGATCGTATGTTGCATAGATTCCCAAACTTACTTGCCTACCACCCTCAACACCCTCTTTTCAGGAAAAATAAATTACTCAGCACCCCTCCCCCTAAGCAAATTAACTTGTATGATAGTCCGTAATCCAAGATAAAGTATAGGTATCTGCTTTTGCAGCCCTACCCCTGGATTGTACCAGAAATCCCAGGGATGGTATTATCCACTTTGGGAAATGCTGCTACATAGGGTTCCCAAGCCGTAAACCTTTATGGGAGCAGATAGCCTCAACTTTCTTCCACAGAGCGGCTAGTGGGTTTGAACCACTGACCTCTTGGTTAGCAGCTGAGCTGCTTACCCAGCAGTGTCACCAGGGCTGTCCGCCACAGTGGAACTAAATACAGGCTCAGTAAATGCAGGTTTGGGTAGAGAAACAGAAAATGCTTCAGGCTATTAAGGGGTGATTTAAATTTCTTTTTGACTCCTGATCATCACATATTTCTGAGATAAGAAACTCCTTTCTGTGTAACTAAAGTAGAAAGAGCTTTTGGAGGTACAGTACCTGGGCTTTGGGCATATCTCTGTGAAACTATCTCTGCAGATTTGAAGTCTTCATGATTCTGTCTCAGATCTGTTCCTTTCATTGATCCTCGTGAAAACTCTGCTTTTGTGATCCCCATACGTGTGCGTGTCTGTGCTGAAACGATCACTCCTGTATTTATCACTGCCTGACTTTGAGATGTGCTTTCAAGAGCCTGTACTAATTATTACTACAGTTTCCGTGTCTTAGTTCTCCACTGTTTAGGGTAGTGCCGGAGACGTGATGTGTCGGTGCCCTGGACTTGCTTCTGTCTCCTAGTGACCATGTACACAATGCAAGGAAAGTCTTCCAGACCCGG